GTGTGTATGTAATGTATGTTTTGTGTGTAATGTGTATGTGTGTGTGTATGTAATGTATGTTTTGTGTGTAATGTGTATTTGTGTGTGTATGTAATGTATGTTTTGTGTGTAATGTGTATGTGTGTGTGTATGTAATGTATGTTTTGTGTGTAATGTGTATGTGTGTGTGTGTGATGTCTCGTTGCTGTGCTCAGTGCTTCTTTGTACTCCAACTATTTCAATTTGGAGAGACGTTTAGACTTTGCGTTGCTTCAGCCAAGGTAAATAATAAATCTTCTTTCTCTTCCTTTCAGTGGGCTATCCTTTGACCGTGCTGGGAGGGATCTTCGGCAAGAACTATGCCGGCAGTTTCGACGCCCCGTGCCGGACGAAAAATATTTCCCGAGAAATCCCGAGTGTCCCCTGGTACAGATCCGCTGTGGCTCACTGCGCCATCGGAGGGTTCCTGCCGTTTAGGTAAGTGTGGTCTTTTGTGCGGTCTTGTCAGTGAATTCTCTTTAGGCTGGGATATTTTTAGAAACACATGCGCTGGAGTTTGAATCTGGGCGTGGGTGGTTGGTGGGTGCTCTGGTGTGGTTTGCTTCTTCTTTCCTATCAAACATCTATCATCCTTATCTCTCCTCCTTCTTTTTTGTGTTTGTTAATCTCTTGCGACACCTCTAATCTTCAGCACTTATATGACCTTATTGTGTTGCAAGTGCCATAAAACTTTTACTAAAACTAAACTTACTGTAATTTCAAGTTTTCTCATGTATTGGTGTTAACTGTGCCTGACTGCAGTATCTATTGGGGGGTTACAGGGGGCTGTATTAACCCAAATTTTAATATTTTGTAGTTACGTTTGAAATTTTCTTGAGAATAGTCTATTTGCGACAGTTTTAGTGGCTATGTGTGGGATCTGCAGTAAACGATACGCAGTTTGACCCCCCAAAACAGTGTATCTGTGTGTGGGAGTACGTCTCCGAGTAGTTCCTGGGTGAATATCTTCTGCCGTGCCTGACTGTAGGGACAAGTTTTTTCATCTATTGGTGTTAACTGTTCCCGACTGTAAGTAATGACAAGTTTCCTCCCCTCCCCTCCCGTCCCTCCCCAGCGCCATCTCGGTGGAGCTGTATTACATCTTCGCCACGCTGTGGGGCCGCGAGCAGTACACGCTGTTTGGCATCCTGTTTGTGGTCTACGGCATCCTGCTCAGCGTCACCGCCTGCATCTCCATCGCCCTCACCTACTTCCAGCTGTCGGCCGAGGACTACCGCTGGTGGTGGCGCTCTATATTTAGTGCTGGGTGAGTTGGGGACGATTGAGGGTGTGTGTGTGTTTGTGTGTATTGGTATGTGTGTGGTTGTGTGTATGTTTGTTTGTGTGTGTGTGTGTGTGTGCGTGTGGGTATGTACGTTTGTTTGTGTGTGTGCGTGTGGGTATGTACGTTTGTTTGTGTGGGTGTGTGTGTGTGTGGGTGTTTTACACAGGTCAACGGGCATGTTTGTGTCCAACATGTCTCTCTGTGTGTGTATGTTTCTCCTACTCAATACTATATCTCACTGTGTGTGTGTTTGTGTGTGTTTTACACAGGTCGACGGGCGTGTTTGTGTTCTTCTACAATACTATATCTCACTGTATGTGTTTGTGTGTGTTTTACACAGGTCAACGGGCGTGTTTGTGTTCCTGTATGTGCTGTTTTACAACTACAAGCGCTCCAACGTGTCTCACTGTGTGTGTGTTTGTCTGTGTTTGTGTGTGTTTTACACAGGTCGACAGACGTTTTTGTGTTCCTGTACGGGCTGTTCTGCTACAACTATATCTCACTGCGTGTGTGTTTGTGTGTTTTACACAGGTCGACGGGCCTGTTTGTGTTCTTCTACAATATTATATCTCATTGTGTTTGTGTTTGTGTGTTTGACACAGGTCGACGGGCGTGTTAGTGTTCCTGTACAGTACTATATCTCACTGTGTGTGTTTGTGTGTGTTTGACACAGGTCGACGGGCGTGTTTGTGTTCCTGTACGCGCTGTTCTACTACTACAAGCGCTCCAACATGTCGGGCCTGCTGCAGACGCTGGAGTTCCTGGGCTACACGGCTCTCACCTGCTACGTCTTCTTCCTCATGCTGGCCACCGTCTCCTTCTTCGCCTCGCTCAAGTTTGTGCGCTACATCTACGTCAATATCAAGATGGACTGAGAGGAGGGAGAGAGGAAAGGAGTGAACGGATAGACGGATGTATCTACGCCATCAACATCAAGATGGACTGAGTGGGGGAGAGAGGAAAGGAGGAGAGGATAGAGGGATGTATCTATGTCAATATCAAGATGGACTGAGGGGGAAGAGGAATGCATTTGTGTCAAAATGATGACTGAGAGGGGGAGAGGAAAGGAGGAGTGAACGGATAGACAGATGCATCTACTTCAATATCAAGATGGACTGAGAGGGGGAGGGGGGGAAAGGAGGAGTGAGCGGATAGACAGATGCATCTACGTCAATATCAAGATGGACTGGGAGGGGGAGGGGGGGAAAGGAGGAGTGAGCGGATAGATGGAGAGAGGAGAGAAAGGAAAGGAGGAGCAGATAGATGTATCTACGCCATCAACATCAAGATGGACTGAGAGAAGGAGGGAGAGGAAAGGAAGAGCGGATAGAGGGTTGTATTTATGTCAATATCACGATGGACTGAGGGGGTAGAGAGGAAAGGGGGAACACATATACTGATGCAGAGAAAAAGGGAAGGGTGGATGGGTGGGAGCAAACACTGTGAGAGGAGGCAGAGAGAGAGAGGAAGGGAGAGAGAGAGAGAGAGAGAGAAAAAGAAAAAAAGTTTGTACTCTATGTTTTTACGTTAAGACGATGAGAGATGGAGGGGGGAGAAAGAGAGAGAAGAGAGAAAAGGAGAGGAGACAGAGAGACATGTCTATGTGTTTTTTTTACTCCTCATTAACTTACTCCACAGACAGAAGAAGCTGCAATCTCTAATCTGTGACACTTGTACGAGGAACCGTACCGTACTTTCGGTGGGGATGGTTCGTGGGCGCTCTGATGTATTTGGCTTTTTTTTCTGTCTGATTTGGCTCTGCCCTCCAGTGTTCTGAGTATGTCAAAATGTGGCCATGGTTGAGTCTGACGCATTGGGAAAACTGTCAGTCAGCGCAGTTTGTTTTATTAACCAATTTTTGTGGTTTGTGTTCATGGCTTGTTATTGCTCTCTCTGTCTCTCTCTCTCTGTCTCTCTCTCTCTCTCTCTCTCTCCCTCCCTCCGTCTCTCTTTTTTTCTCTCTCTCGCCCTCCCTCCCTCTCTGTCTCTCTTGCACACAATCATTATAACGATGATGCGGAAAGGCTGGATGACAATTTGTCTGTGAAGATTGCGGTAACCCCCTTTCCATCATGTTCAGGAAGTTGACAATTGTGCAAGATGTTTTATGGGTACTGTTTTTCTAGGGTTTAAAATTCTTTTTTTTTTTCTTATTCGCCTTTTCTGTTTTTTCAAATAGTTTTTTTTTTTTCATAGCTGCCAACCAGTTTGTATAAAATTTAGATAAGTTTTATGAATCTGAATGTGGAAGACCGTTTACTTACTTATTGAAAAATTCGTATTCTTAGTTTTCTAGTATTGCTCCTTGTGGACTTGCCAAAATATGGAGAAAAAAAGTTATGACATTTTGAGACGGGATTGAGTAAATGATAAGGATTACGAGGCTCATAAGTCACAGAGAGAGAGATCTCTGCTATGTTACAGGTTTACTTTGAACTGCTGGAATTTATGGAATGCAGAAGAGTGTGTGTGTGTGTGTGTGTGGAAGGGTTTGGAGGGGAGGTTACTTGGCTAATGCCCACCATCTTGACTCTTCGTGCACTTAGTCTGGTTTTTGGTTTTGAAAAGTTGGCAGCTTACGTTTTTTTTTTGTTTCTGTTTTTTTAAAAAATAGATGTCGCCTTTTAAACAAAATTGTGATGTCCTCATTTCATTTTTAGGTTCTTCAATACAGTCTTCAGTTCTTTTGGGAATTTTTTATCATGGCTTCCCTTATATATTTGTAATTCATTATTTTATATATATTATAAATTCGTTGTTATTTGCCCTTTGGCTGATTGGAAATTTTCATTTCGATATCGTGGTGGGACGTCTGATACTTTGAGCTACTGTGGGTCGCCGGTGGGTCTGGTACTCGTTGATTGTTGAGTGGGTTGAGGCCCCTTCTTGTACAGGAATATTCTAATCTATGTTGTTGGTGAAGCAACTTTATTTCACTGTAACTCTGGGGGATTTACCTGAGCGAGATAAAAAATATTTGTTCTTGTGCTGTCGAATGAATTCATGTTTTTTTTACACACGCACACACTCACACAGACGCGCACACGCATACACACACACACACACACACCCCCGTTTGACTTTTTAGAAGATGAAATTCTGATGACATTTGGCTGACATTGTTCTGTGTTCGTTTTTCATATGTTGTACAGAGCTTCTTTTACTTATGATAGATATATACGTCTATTTGTGAGCGTGGCTTTCATGAATGCGTCGTATTTAGGAGATTGTCTGGACACCTGATTGATTTAATCTGACGTGACAGATAGATGTATATGGAGTGTCTCCCTCAAGGGAATCGGGTGTTTGGAGTCGTGTCAACTGAACAAGCTACACGGTTTGAGGCGAAATTTGACATCTTGGTTTTTTTTGTGTCAACCGACTGTCGAATTCCGAAACCGTTCTTCGGTCGGGGGAGAATGTTGCGTAGTTATGTAGCACGATGTTTTGTCAGCAGAAGTGGCCACCGCGCCAGTGAATGAATGAATGAATGAGTGCGTGGGTCTTGCTGTGATTTTTTTCTGGGGGGGGGAAATGGGAGGAGATTGTTCAATTTATTTTATTCTTGTCTCGAGAAATGTGAAATCTAGATATATATATATTTATATGTTCTTAGTCATCAGAGTTGAGTTCTTTGTGACCTTGGGTATGGATCCATACCCGGTTGGTTGATGCTGAAGGTGGCTGGTGATGTCACTGCTATGAGTATGAGACATCTTTGTTTTGTTTTGTTTTGTTTTCGGTGGGTATTGATGGGTTTTTGGGGTTTTGTTATTGCTTCAATCTGTCGCTGTGATCTGCTGATTCATGTTATTTCTTGCTCATTGTCGGGTGACTTTTATTTTTCAGTTGGGGTTTTTTTTTTCTTTTTGTCAAACATGAAACGAAACTCACTTTTTCGATGTACTTGTTGTTGTGTGAAGTAAGTGGGTGGTTGGCGGGTGCTCTGGTGTGGTTTGCTTCTTCTTTCCTATCAAACTTCTATCGTCCTGATCTCTCCTCCTCCTTCTATTTTGTGTTTGTTACTCTCTTGTAACACCTCTAATTTTGGCACTTATATGACCTTATTGTGTTGCAAGTGCCGTAAAGCTCTTACTAAAACAAAAACAAGTAAGTTCCCGTTTTCGGGGGTCATAACACAGTTGCCAGACTCGTTTTAAAATTGTCTTTCAGTAGTTAAAAAAACTAACTGCTCATCTTAGGGAGGATGAGGAGCTGAAGCTGAAGGGAGTCTTGCTCTGGAAAATCACAGGCTGCTTTCCCATCTTTGTTAAGGATTTGGAGGACCAGGGATATCACGCTTTGGGCAAAGCAACTCACTTGTAACACCTCTAATCTTCGGCACTTGTATGACCTTATAATAGTGCTGCAAGAGCTGCGAAACTCTACAAAAACCATGCAAAAGCTGAGGTTTTTTTTAAACTCACTCGGATGTGAAGTCAGTCTTGGTGTACTGTATGGATGTAAGACACGGAACACATATCTCATGCTTGTATAATAAAGAGGATCCAGGTTTCTTTGAACAAGTATCTGAGAAAGTTGCTCAGAATCAGATAGACAGGCAGGGTCGTTACCAATGAGGAAGTATTTGATCGCAGCTGAGGATTTTTCCACTCAAATGTGAATTATTTTTTTTTCACCGTATCTGTACGCCCGGGGGTCATTTTGTACCCCCCAGGGTTGTATTCTTCACATTTTAGAATACCTCTAGTGCGAAGATCTCTTTGAAACTTTCAGTATTTCTCAAAAAATCATTTTGACAGACTGAAATGCAAAACGTACAGATCGGATTAACGAGTAAGTTTTCTCTTTGGAAAGTGGTGGCACAGAGTTCCCCACGTCGTATGGATACGATAGTAAAACACAACGTACGGATAGGGTTAAAGTAACTTTGGCAATTGTTTTCTGACCTTGACAATGTGTAACAACTCTGTAACCCCAATCTTTTTTTGTACCGTGTCAGTCGACAGAAGCGCTATCATCGTGTTCCTTGTTGCTGGAAAATTGTTTCATTTTTTCATTTTTTTTTTTTCCGGACACCTTCCTTCAAATGACGAAGCTCAGTGTGACCTTGAGTTGGGCTCTGCGTGTGACGGACGCCAACCAGTGATTTGTTAGCTTGTTTTAGTTACCATCATGTTCTGTTTTGTTTTGTTGTGTTACCAGCTGAGGAGGGGAGTGTGTTATGGTCTCTTCATCCCCACTCTCTTCTCTTTCCGTTCTCTTTCCCCCCCCGTCTTACCCCCTTCTCTTTCTTTCTCTTACTTAACTCAAACTCTTGACTTTTTCAAGGCTGGGTGGTCGGTGGGTGCTCTGGTGTGGTTTGCTCCTTCTTTTCTATCAAACATCTGTCGTCCTTATCTCTCCTCCTTTTTTGTGTATACTACTCTCTTGTAACACATAATCTATTCTTCGGCACTTATATGACGAACTTATTGTATTTCTAGTGCTGTGAAACACTTGCTCTTACTAAAATTAAATTTTTAAAAAACCTGTGACTTCTAACTCTACCTTCTTACTGACCTTTCCCGGAGGACCATTCTGTTGTCTGCCTCTGCTCCCAGCTGATATTGCCATATTTTATATCATGTATGTGTTATTATTAATACTACACACATTAACATATATATATTGTATTTGATTTATTCTTTTATTCTTTTGTATATTTATGATTTGGATTTATCCTAGATAATCCAACAAATTATATGTCGGGTGCATTATCTTGTGAGATGTTGTTACCAGAGGGGGATGTCCTTTTTTTTTTTATTAAGCTTGTGGTCATTTAGAGGTGTGGAGGGTTGGAGGGTGCTACTGGTAGATCCTATCCTACTTCTTTTTTCGCCCTCTTTTGTTTCTGTCCGTCTTATTTCATTTGTTTTTCCCCCCAGCACAAAACAACCAGAAGTGTGTCGATCAATGTGCTACTTTGTACTCAAACAAACACAAAAAACAAACAAACAAAACAAGAAACTTATGCAGATGTCGATGAGGTGGGACTGCTGTGGCCCGCCTGGACTCTCTTTGTATCCCACAAGTGAGACGTCCCGTGCCCGTTTTTGCTTCTCCCGTACGTCTGTACGGACGATTTACTGTACATATACACCATTCCAGAGATGTCTTCTTAGTAGAACTGTGCGTTCGGTGTTGCTTATCTGGGTCTTTCTTCTCCTCACCAGCCTTTATCAAGTTTTTTCTGTACATGTTTTACTTGTGTGTTTTCTTGTGCTTTATCAGATCTACGTCATGGCTCCTTGCGCTGTTTAGGCACGTTTTCTTTTTGTGTTTTGTATTTTTTTAACTGAGAGGGTTGGTTGGAATGGTGAATTGAAAGGACTGTCATGTAATAATAAAACCCACTCAGATGGAGAGCGAGTTTTTATTTTATCATACTAATTATAAAGATGCTTTGCATAAATGATGATACAATGACAATGTCCATTTTTTCCCCGATTTTGAGAAATGTGAAGATTTCTTGATTTCCACTTATTA